AGTTTTTTTTAAAAAAAAATTTATATAACTTGAAGCTTGATGTAGGACTCGTTTCTATGCCGATCAGTGGCTCGCTGTTGGACATGGTGGAAGTCAGCTATTCCTCCTTTATTATTTTGTGGTTCACACTTTTGAAGTGTTTGCTCTTAATGAATCGAGTTCGGTGCGCGTATGACGACGCTTGAAAGGTGTGAGGTGAATGCCGGGAAAATTGTTTTTAATGCCATCCGGTTTAGGAATAACATCAGTTATTCGAAAGAGTTACTTGCGACAGTCCTTTTTCTCTTGAATATTTATTTATTTATATCAAATGGCAGGCGTTTTGATAGTTATCATGAGCCATTTAATTGACATCAGGCTTCACAGATGGGAAGGAACATCAGTGAAAAAGGTCGAGATGGGGGTGGGGACAGAAGAGTGTTTCAAAGATGTTAAAAAGATAGACGCAAAGTTGGGAAAAAGGTGATGTGAGTACGGTTGAAGTAGTCGAATTTGACATACAGTGGGGTGATGGTAGTTTGGAGTCCGAAATCAACTGCCGGTTAATAGACTTTTTTGCCGCATGAATATACGTTGCCCAGGGTGCACCACGTGGAGGTAAGTCTATCGCACACCCCTTCTCTTGAATATTTGGGTATGCTGACGCTTTACGCTGCGTTGATCTAATTGTCCAGATGTGGATGAAGGTTCTTCATCGAGAAAGCAGAACCTACACGCTTCCTTTTCCCCATTATTCCAGATCTTCTCTTTCTTGTTCTTCCTCCCTCCGTTTATGGCCTCATAGTCTTAACTTTAGTGGCTTAGTGGCTACAAATATTTCCACAATATTTTTAACCTCAATTCTGGGTTTTGTTTGTGTTTAGAACAATCCAACGGAAATTACCCTTACGTATTTTCTTGGTTTTTTTTGTCAAATAATCGTCTACTACTTCGACCTTGGCGTGAAAGACTTTAAATTGAATTATTACTACTCTCCAATTGGTTGGTCGTTTCGGCGTGGACTAGTTATAATTTATCTGCAACTTAACCCTTCGGCAATAGAGGCATTTTGTTCATGATAAAATGTATCCTGTGTGTGTATGTGTGTGTGTGTGTTTAAATAAAACAAAAAATTTCTTTCTTTTTTGCTCTTTTAGCTAATGTCTGCATTTGCACGCTTTTTTGATGAAGCCAACGTTGTGGAGCCGAAAGTGGCCGGCCTGTATGACCTTGGACCAACAATCGGACGAGGCCATTATGCAGTGGTCAAGGTCGCTCAACACGTTTTCACTGGCGAAAAGGTGGCTGTCAAGGTGATTGACAAGACCAAGTTGGACGCTCCCTCTCGTGAACATCTCTTCCAGGAGGTGGTTTGTATGAAACTAGTCCAACATCCAAATGTAGTTCGATTGTACGAAGTCATTGACACTGTAAATAAACTCTACCTCATTCTTGAACTAGGCGACGGAGGCGACCTCTATGATTACATCATGAAGCACGAGCATGGCCTGTCGGAGAAGTTGGCGAAAAGATACTTCCGTCAGATTGTCACCGCCATCTCCTATTGTCACAATCTGCATGTGGTTCATCGCGACCTCAAACCTGAGAATGTTGTTTTCTTTGAACAGCTCGGTGTGGTGAAGCTGACTGACTTTGGATTCAGCAATCAATTTGTCCCTGGAAAGCAACTTGACACATTCTGTGGTTCTCTAGCTTATTCCGCTCCTGAAATCCTACTTGGAACTAAGTATGACGCTCCAAAGGTTGATATCTGGTCACTGGGAGTGATTCTCTTTATGCTAGTTTGTGGCAGGCTTCCTTTCGATGAGGCGAATGACAGTGAGACGCTTACAAAAATCATGGATTGTGAATATCAGCTGCCACCTCATCTTTCTTCCGAGTGTTGTTTGCTCATTTCCCGACTCCTTATTCGTGATCCATCGAAGAGAGCAACGCTCGATGAAGTACTACAGGACGAATGGCTTCAAATGGCTGGTGATGAACTTCCAATTGGGCTATTTTCAGTTCCCTTGATTTCACAACAGCACCTTCAATTTGAAGATCACATGGAAATCCTCAACAAGATGGCCTCGGGAGGATTGGCTACTGTTGATGAGATCCAACAAGCACTCGATCGCAATGAATACTCCCACATTTCCGCCACCTACTTTCTCCTTGCTGAGCGTAAGTTGAAGAGAAATTATATTGAGGAGTATAAAATTCTCTCAGCTCAAGCTAAAGCACTAGAACAGACATTGAGCCTTTCGCAGAAAACCCAATTACCAACTCCTGTAGAACAGTCAGAGAAATCACAGACTCGACCGGCTGTCCTTCCGAAGTCAATCTCGGCTTCTTTGGCAGCCTCTGGAGCCGAAGAGCGTCTGAGACGATTTTCGATGATTCTAGAAGACGAGGAAGAGAATGACGATACACCTCCGATTTCTGCCGTGGGAGTCTGTGGAATTGATCATCGTCTTGCCGATGAAATCAACTTCCATGAAACATCAGAGGAAGCATTACTACACGAAGAACAGGAGGAGTTTGAAGCTGTAGCTAGCCTCGCTTGTGTTCGATCGGAACTTCTATCTGAACACGAAAGCAGTGACACCGGTGCGACGTCCGATATTCAGGCTCTAGATCTCGAACCGACTAGGTATTTCACTCGACCGAATTCCAGAGCAGACTTATCTGAACGCGTTGGTTCGGAGACTTCTTTGAATACCGGTGGAGTGGCAAGTATAGCTGGTGACGCAGGTCGACGTTCTGTTTCTTCTATATTCACTTCTCGTCATTTCAGACTCCCCAGGACTTCACTTCGACCCCTGATATCCGTTAAAAGTAGCCCGCAATTACTTGATTACATTGCTGAGGAAGAAGGCTGTGATTGGAAAATTCCATTGGAAAGTGAAGAGCTCCCCTCTAAACGTCCACTCGCCTCGCACCTTCCAACTGCCAAGCAACCCAATCGAGCGTTAAATGCCAATCGGAAATCGATGAGCTCGATCTATGCCAATCGGGGATCCATTCCACGGGCAAGAAGTCCGCCAACTTGGTCAAATCGCAAGTTTTATACCGGTTCAGCGGCAAGTTTCAGTGCGAGCAACTCGCGACCAGTTAGTGGTGTGAATATGTGGCCAGCGGTCGATAGAAAGTGGCGTCAGTCTCCGTCAACAACAGGGAATATATTTCTCGCTTCTCGATACACTCCAAGTAATAATATGATCCGACCTTCGAACTCGAATTGTGTGCGAGATCATAGGCGCCGTAGTGGTCCCCCGAGTTTTTCTGTTCTTACACAGGGGAATAATGCTCTTACGCCGGCGCATATGAGCCTCCTTCGAATGAGTTTGAACTTCACCACCGGCCGGACGTCTGCGGAATGCTCCGAACGAGATCCGCTTCCGCCTAAACCGCTTCACCTCGAACCCGCTTTGGAAGAGTCGGTGCAGAAAGAGGAGCCTGAACCGCCTAATTGTGGACGATTCAGTGTCTCCTGTCAGTCAGCTCCTAATATTCTCGACCATCTCTTCATTAAACCACCTGTTACAACGGAAATTTGTGCACCAATTCGAGAAGAGGAAGATGAGAATAAGACCCATAGTCCTTCAAAGGATGAATTAGGCCTGAATCCATCACCTCCTCAGGCTTCTCGTATTGCGAAAACCTCCCCAGCTATTTTAACTGGTCACCGATTGTCTGCTGTTTGGTGTAATGGAGCTCCAACCTCTGGTCGTGTACCCAATCGCCAGCAGAACGGTCTCACGTCTTCTAATTTCTCTCTTGCTTCTTTGGCTAGCAGTATCCGAGATTCCAGACACATTGTTGATGTTCTAAGGGGGACCTATGAACTTCAACTCCAATCCAAACAACGAACTGGAGGCTTCCCACGAATTTCCACGGGCTCGAGTTTGGATGGGTTGCCACCTCCCCCTTCAACTTCATCTTTGGTAAGAAGCTTGAATCTTGGGATCCAACCGGGAGTGTCTGTTTCTGCGAACGCCTCTTTACGACGTCCACGGCAGAATGCTGCACAACCAGCGCTTCGACAATCCTCTGCCTCTCCACCACGAATCGCAACAGTTCCATCTGCGAGTGTGTTCAAGGAAAAGAATTCCCCAACACCAAATGACGACGCAGTGGCTAGATATGCCAACTCTTCGTCGCGTTCTAGTGATTCCATACGCGTAGTTAATTCCTTCTTCTATATTCCCTCGTCGACAACCTCACTGAACAATTCACTTACTCTCGCCACGACTTCAACAACGCTGAACACGAAAGTCGACGGATCTTTGCCTCCACCACCTTCTTCCCAGATCTCAGGCCAGCCTACAATTCCGGAGGAGAGCACTCTTAAGTCCTCTAAGTTATTTGCAATTCCGAAAGCGAAATTGTATTCCTTTTATGAGAGTTCTGCAGCTAGAACAACTCGGCCCCATTTCGGATTGAAACGGGGTCTGAGAAAGCCTAGAAAAAGAAGCGGCAGTGGTTCTGGGGGAAGAAATGAGAATTCTTCCAGTTGCTGTCACATTTCTTAGCGCACTTTCAGTTTGCAGACGCGTTTGTGTAATTGACGCAGATTCTCCACGATCCTTTCGCTCACGCGCCTCCCCCCCCCCTCCCCTCCCCTCCCGTTGCTCCCAAAATTTCTGTACTTCCACCTTCTCCTGCATATTGACGATTTTGGGTTTAATTGCGCCGTATTCAAAAATTCGATTCTCGCATTCCCTATCCACCCCCCCTCCCGAATTTATCGCATTTAATTTAAGCGATTAAGCATGTGTATAAAATTGCTGTGGACGATGCCGTTGGTATTGCTATTGATATTCCCCCCCCCCTCCCACTTCTTTCCCCTAATTTCAAAAAGCCAATGTCTTTCTACAAACTTTGACCTTCTTTTCTAAATTTATGGAGAGTTGGGTTGGCCTTTAATTGGTTGGTGCGAATGATTGATTAGATCGTGGGGGGGGGGGGGGGGGTTGAGTTAATCGTAACCTGGGGGCAAATATGAGCCGACATGTCATCCACGTGCCGTGAACCTCTTGCAGTGAAGGTGTTCTTTAAGGACATGAACGTGCTCCGTAACTTATCAATGGAACGTCGGTTATATTAGTTAATTATCCAAAAATAAACTGAGGACGATGAATGCGAAAAAAAAGAATATTAGCCTAGTGTGTTTTGTCAGAACAACCTAATTGGTCGAGGGAGGAGGGGGGGGGGGGGTGAGTAGTGTAGTCGACGTCGGCACCGTTCTGCGTATTCGTGAGGAGATGCCAGGATCATCGATTTTGCTGAATTCAAAACTGGTTCAATTTGAAATAAAACGTCAGTGTGATTTTTCCATTCAGGTGAATGAAGGAGAGTTCTTCACGAGACTCCGACTGATCGAACCAAATGCTAGGTTTTCTATCAATGTCCAGTTAATTAGTGCATGTTTTCTATTAATTTGACCCAGGTGACACTGTGACACATTGAGATCGAAAATGGAAATCGAGTGGAATTTTTTTTCAGCCATAATTTTTTTGACATTTAATTGCAATGTATTATAAATACGCTACAACAATTTCTTACAGATATCTGAGAAGGAAAAAGAGCCATTTCATATAAGGCCCTTCCAACATTAAGGTATTCGTCAAAGAGGTTGCACAGAACATGGAGTAAAACTTGAGCTCGTTGGTGTGTACGCGTAGTACCAGAAACATCTTTACTGGTAGAGGGGTGTGCGATAGACTTACCTCCACGTGGTGCACCCTGGGCAATGTATATTCATACGGCAAGTAAGTCTATCAATGGGCAATTGACTTCTGACTTCAAACTGCCATGATCCCACTGTATGCCATATTCGACCACTTCCACAGTACTCACCTCACCGTTTTTCTACCTTCGTCTTTGAAGCACTCTTCTGTCCCCCCCCCCTCGTCTCGACTTTTTTTCCACTTTGATGTTCCTTCCCCTCTGTGAAGCCTGAAGTCAACTAAAGGGCTAATGATAACTATCAGAACGCCTGCCATTTGATATAAATAAATCTTTACTGGTAGATGGGTCGTGCTATTACATCCATTGTTTTCTCTGATTAATTAAAATGCCATTCAATGCCAATATGAATACAAAGTTCACTAATAATTCCCTAATAAGTTATTGAAGTGGATTGTGGAAGAGTATTGTAGCAATGCATAAATTGGTGGGAAATATGTGTACATACATAGACTAAAATCATTTAAACAATTCCACGGGAACTCGACAAGGGTCGGTCTCAGATCGTTAGGCCAATGAGCTGGTTATTGTCAGCCAACATTAGGGCTCCTTCAACGCCCGATTTATATTTTTGCAAATTGGGGTGTGCGATAGACTTACCTCCACGTGGTGCACCCCGGGCAACGTATACTCATACGGCAAAAAAGCTTATTAACCGACAGTTGGCTTCTGACTTCAAACTACCATCACCCCCACTGTATGTCATATTCGACCCCTACCAGAGTACTCATCTTACCCTTTCTGTGCTTTTGTGTCTGTCTGTTTCTTTTACATCTGTGAATCACTCTTCTATTCTCCCTCCCGAATTCTTCTCACTTTGATGTTCCTCCTCCCCTCTGCAAAGCCCGAAGTCAACTAAAGGGCTAATGATAACTATCAAAACGCCTGCCATTTGATAGAAATAAATATTTTTGCAAATTGCACCCAACCGCACTCACCAAAGTCTCCCAGCAGACTGGTGCCACTGACTTGGTGAGTTTTGATGAGAATAAAAAGAGAATAACTTGTCGGGAAAGAGAATCATGTTTTGGCTATTTGCTCAGGACTTTTATGCTAGATTAATTAATAAAAGAAATTCTATTTTATTTTTCCTTCAGAAGTTTCACAAATTAATGGTTAGTTCTGCGTATCCAAAATTCGGAACTTCTAATTGGAAAGATAAAATTAGCCCAACTTAATGGAAGCATAGGCTGGTGAATTCCGAATGGTAAATTAATAGTATATTTTCAATCAAAATTGTCAACTTCTGAATGTCACATTGTCTCGCACAAACGCCTAATTGTTTAACGTCCGCACTCACGCGTGTCTCACAGCAGCAGACTGATGCCACTGACGTGATGAGTTTTGGTGGTTTATCAGGTGAAGGCGGCTATAGGCACGCATTGAGCATGCTTCAAATGACAATAGCGCCTTCCGTTGGGAGTCTATTAACAATAGAGGTTATTTTTTTATAGATGACCGCGTACGATCCTGTGGGGCGTTAAAGGGTTTGATCTATTTTGCCTCCCTTAGAGGGTAACGACACAAACCATATTTAGCTTAGTAAACGCGTTGAGCCATATCTGTTTACGAGCATTACTCAACGATTTATCTCGAAAAGTGATAACGATAGTTTTGACAAAGCTGTGAAGATGTGCAAATGAATAAGGAGGGGGTGGGGTGGGAGCAAGACTCACTTAGCTTCTGAGTGCAAAGTGTTATTACTTGAAGAAGGATTGAAGATTGGTACTTCACCTGTTGGTCGAGTTGTGAATGTGCCATCGGATTCTGTTGTCACATTCTTATAACTCTTTTCTGCCAACACATTTATTTATTTCAAATGGTGGGCGTTATGATACTTTATCATTTGCCCTTTAGTTGACTTCGGGCTTCACAGAGGGAAGGAGGAACCTCAAAGTGAGAAAAATTCGAGAGGGGGGAAAGATGAGTGATTCACAGTTGGACACGAATGCAGAGAAAAGGTAGGATAAGTATGGTGGAAGTTACCGAATAAGACATACAGTGGGATCATGGTAGTTTGAAGTCAGAAGTCAACTGCCGGCTTATAGACTTGGGTAGTTTGAAGTGAGAAGTCAACTGCCAGTTAATATAACGAATATGACATAGAGAAGTCAACTGCCAGTTAATAGATCATGGTAATTGAAGTCAGAAGTCAACTGCCGATTAATAGACTTGGGGTCATGATAGTTTGAACTCAGAAGTCAACTGCCAGTTAATAGACTTACTCATGGTAGTTTGAAGTCAACTGCCAGGTAATAGACTTTAGTTTGAAGTCAGAAGTCAACTGCCGGCTTATAGACTTTTTTTTGCCGTATGAGAATACGTTGCCCAGGGTGCACCACGTGGAGATAAGTCTATCACGCACCCCCACACGGGGAATATTGATTGTTGGCAGGCTGAGAGGTCACTGCACACACGCCTCACGTGCTCCCTGTGCGACATGTCGCATGGCCGCACCTCCGAGTCTGCCTGGGTGCGCATGATATTTCTTTGCTCAACCATGACACCGTCGAGCACTCCATACCATACGACTCAGTGTTTGCTAAATAACTCGTATGTGCTCTGTTTCGGCACATTTCCCACTAATAGGCATTGAGAATTTGACCGACAAAATTCCATTTTTTTCGTAGACAATAACCCGCAGTGCAATTGCATGTAAATAATACAACTTCTACGCAAATCTTTCCTACTCTATGTGATATCAAGCTACTCACTAGAATTGTTAAGGTTGAATCGAAATATTTGCGCAAATTAAATCGTAAGTAACGAATTTCATTCTGGGTTATTTTAGTGCTAGTGCAAATATTAACTTTCGGTGTACTTAGTTATTTAATTAAACATCAACTCTTGTGACGTCTTATTGCTAGTTGTAAATCGTTGTATTCTTTTTTTAAAGTTCTGTAATAGGTTGATTTAACTCCGATATCGATTAATTCTTCAAAGCTAATGATCACTAAAAGGAATAAAATGTTTTTTTTTACTTGATAAAAATGTGGTCCTTTCAGAATGACTTCAACACAAGGCGACACAGTTGTAAATTTATATGAATATTTTACTTTATTCTATTTTATACTCTCTTCAATTCACTGAAAACCATTAAGTTAATAATTTTGGAAGATAATTCATAAATCATGGAACACTAAATTAATAAAACTTAAAGTTATTTTAAAAACACATATAAATGAAAGTGATTGTAACTTATTTACGATTTACTTTGAAAATTTTAAAATTCACGAAAATCAATAAGAGTGTCTTATTTATGATGGAAATTCTTACTTGTTTATCGTCATAAATAGTAGGATTTTCAAATTCAGTTTAAACCCTTCATTCATGAAGGTATTCAAGCACTCCTTCCCTACCTCCTGCCCAAAATGCAAATTTTATCACAAAATTTTAAATAAAAGATCTTTCTCATACACATCCGACTATTCAACGGTAACACAGATATCACATAATGAATGTTAACGCAAGTCATTATTTTTAATTTACCCACACAATTTTCATGATCGTCGAATTTTACTACCATCTCCAATACGCCGACGCTGCCGCCACGAGGATGCACTTCAAATTGCGGAATACATTTGACGGTTTAACTGATCCTATATGATATAATAGCTTCGAACAAGCTAATCCAAGTGTTTAGCTTTTCTTGTGATTGAAATTCACATACTAATAATTATTACACGAGTTACTTGAGGCAATTGGGGAATGCCAATGGCCAAAGAGAGGAAAAATTGATAAAAATTTGATTTTTTCAGTATTCTGTGAGTAACAAATTAAAACATCGGTGAGAATCTTACAAAAGGAGGTAGTTTTGCATCAGCACACCCACAGTAGAGTACACAAAAAAGTCTGGAAATGAAATGAGCGTAGTTGCAACTGATGATAGGGGTATATCAGCTGTGTGAAGGTCCGATTAGTTGGTGTTTCTCATTGGTTTCCTTGTTTCAAGCTAGCTCGTAGTTGGTCAGTTTAAACTGCGCGCCAATGGAGAGGTTGCGAGCGGTTGAAATGCAGTGACAGTTTAAGTAATCACCTTCCTATATGACTTCATTCGGAATCAAAGTGGTGCCCAATGTTGTCAGCTCTAATTCGCTACCAAATTGAATATCCCCCTAAATTGATGCAAATTTCCACTTCGAAGACACTGGACAAATCAAAGATGATACTTTGTCCGGTAAATTAGAGAGCCTTCCATAGCAGTTTGGTGTTTTATACTATGCATTCTTGCAAACTCTCGATCTCAACACACACACACACAAATACATTTTGAAAAGTGCGAATATTGAAGAACCCAGTGTAGTTTTCCTATGAAGAAGATACTTACGCCTTCACGTAATCAGCCTTCTTCATCCTCATTTGTCACCTTGTTGTTGTGCTCGATCAATAACAATTTGTCGCAATTGAAATCTTTGGGAAATCTACAATGAAGAGTTAAGGGAGAAGTTATTGAGATTGGATGATGAGTACAAAAAAAAAGAAAATTAAGGTTATATTTTAGTGAAACAAACACGAGAGTAGTGCGCAAATAACGAGATCGAGGCTACCTCCATTGAGGTGTGTATTCGTAAAGAAATTGCTGTGGTCGTCAATTTTGATGAATTCGTATTTTTTTCGCGCGTTTGCATAGAGGATGGGAGGATAAATTGGGAAGGAAATGTAGGCTGTAGAGATCGATGAGAAGAAAATGAAATGAGAGTGGAGTGGAGTGGAGGCTCCAGGAGATGATGAAGTGATAGCAAAGAATGAGGTTAACACAAGGGGCACAATGTAGTGTGGGAGTACAGTGGGTGGAAAGAGGTGGGAACGTAAATTTGGTCATTTATGCGGGTTCAAATTTAAGGGAGAAGTTGATCTTAGGCCAATTTTTTTGGTTAAATCTTCTCCCTTTTACGTCAAAATCGTCATTTACTACGCACGCCAAATGTTGATAATGTTGACTAAATATTAATAATAATTTTTTAAGTAATCTAGGATGAAATATTTCTTAAAATACCTAGGGCGTCGGTTTCAGCAACAACTTCGAAAAGTTTACCATTCATGAAAGATTAAGTAGCTATCATTTGTAAAACCCTAGAACTAGGGAGTAAGCTTTAATTTGTGAAGGACAATACATTCAAGAAATCATGAACATTGTAATAAAGCAAGAAAAGACTTTGACGTGTTACTTATCTGAACAATTCTGCCAAAAATACACGAGGTATGGAACGTTTACATCTCCATTTGAGTGGCCTATTTTAAGATTTCTCATAGTTATGACCCAGGTGATTTGCCCTCGTTGTTTAGCAACAAGATTGTAATGCTCCACTGCAGAATTCCATTGTTCCTGGGATTATTTAATCACATTAGAAATCGTCGGCTGATTATATCTGTTTCCGTGTCCATATATTATTAGTTACTTACATCACCGTATATCTGCTCCACGATATGACCTCGCTTTCCAGTTCATTAGACTATGGCTTGGATAATGTAATAAGTGAGAATTTCCACGAATCCACAAGGCCTCTGAAGCACAATCTGGAAGAAAGTGGACCTACGATTTAAAGTGAGAAATATGGACAAGAACGAGATTAGATAAGTTGTATTCAAAGAAAACCTTTCCGTATAGGACACACTGAAATATTGTAAGTAAAATTGGAGAGTAAAAGCAACCACAGCAATGAAACAGAAGTTTGCCTTCAATGTATAGAAGTAATAATTAGAACTATGATGGAAAATGTATGTGGATTGAAAGTGGCTTATTTCGTTTGGATCTCGTGCTCATTAATTAGTTTCTACTTTCAACTATTATTGAATTGAAAGTCACCATTATCACATGTCGCTACTTTAAAGTACGATCTTACATGGAAATAAGGTTCTGCCAGGGACGGTTGTAAGTGTCTACTGCTCATGCAAATTGGCTAACTTGAACTTTGAGGTCAGACAACAATTGTTTGCATGAGTTTTACTTGAGAATCTTGGAGATCTCTTACTAATACATGCAACGTGGCAGGCTGGTTAAATCTAACTTATACACTTGATGCTATATTTCAGATCATTGGAAATTTTTGTTCTCAAAATTCATACGACTTATATCTTATTTAGTAGAGATAATTTAAACCGGAAATCTTTTCAAATAAACTTAAATAATTAAGTTCCATGTTTGTTGACAATTATGAATTACGGTAAGTAAATTTGTATGAAATTCATCAATCTCCTCCCCAAATACAAGATCAAAAAGCATTATTCACTAGAGGGCAAGATTTCCCTGTTAGACGCGAATTTCGGGCTAAAAAAGACATTCACAGCCATTTCGGCGTTGACATAAATTCTGTGAATGGGATTTTGGTCTAGTTTCGAGTATTTTCCTGTTCAACGAGGATACGTTGCTAAGGGTACACAACTAGGAGGTAAGTCTATAGCATATATGTGGTAAAGGCCGCAATCAACGACTTTTTAAACAATAAGATCACGCCTATTCACTATTACTGTCTGTAAAATATATAACATTGCAGATGCTAAACAAAATGGGACAGTCACCACGGTCAAGCTACTTGAACTCAGTCCTAGACTTTCTATTGGATTGAACAAAGGGACGCCCGAGGGCTCCCCACTGGCAAAAACTACGCACCCGAGCGAACCCAATTAGGGTCCGTCGCAGGCTTCAACACAGCGGAGTGCAATGCTGAGCCTCCACCTGGGGTCAGAGCCTTGTTGATCGCCCTGAACCCGGCGCCAGGTAAGTTTATTAACCGTGTCCCACACCTCCTACCCCCCAAACAAATCCACTTGCACTAACTCACTCATTATATCCCACTTCCGCTTCTTTAGCTCCAACTTTCATCTTCAGGCCTCCCACTTCTTTCAATCCCTCTCTTCTCCACGCCTACACACCTCACTGTGCTCAACGCTTTTGCTCTTCACCAAATGCATGCTTTCTCCATCTTGTCGCTACTCAATTCGCACTAAGTAGTAGCACCGACACTGCTGTCACTGCAGATGTTCGCTGTGCTATTATGATACCATATGGGGGTGTGCGATAGACCTACCTCCACGCGATGTAGCTTGGGTAACGTATATTCATACGGCAAAAAGTCTATAAACCGGTAGATGGCTTCTGACTTATGGCATAGAACATGTTTATTTGGGCTATATGCTGACTGAAAGGGAGCTAAGTCGCTATACCCAATCCCGGCTGCATTGATCGCGCCATGACAGTTAATTGCTAATTGGCTGAGAGATCTCTGTAGCCGTGACCTCATTTGCTCCTTGGTGTGATTAGCATCGCTCAACTCACGTTCCAGAGTGATGATGAAACAGAGTTCGATTCTTTGGAATTATTACGGTTGTGTTGCCTAAAAATAAGCAGATTTTCCAATTTGACTTTACTTCGATATTTTATACTAGTAGCTGTAGCGGATTACTGCACTAGTAAAGCCCTGACTGGCTCAGAAATCTCTGTGGCAGATTCTCCCATATCTAGCTAGACTCCCAGAACTAGCTAAGCTACAGTCCAGCTGTAAGGGAAACAGACGTATCGCATGGACACGCTTACTAAGTATAATGTAGGCAAAGTGTGCTCTCAGGGCGGTTAATCATAATCATCATGGCGGAATAAGTTAAACAAACACAGGCTTCTGATTGGCCACAGGTTGTACGGCCGCACCTCCCACTCTTGGCGTACGTGCATGCTTTGACGCGTTGAGCGGTGACGTGTCCCACTTAGTTTATTTTCAATTTTTATTATATCATTTTGAAACTCACTATTTGCCACATCTCATATATATTAAAAAATCACTTAACTTAATGAAATCGCATTTGATAATGCTATTTTTTTCATTGCAAGGTGGATATTGGGAAAAATGTGAATATATAATACATTTTATTTTATTATTGAGGGTAATCTGAGAGCGAACTAATTGAAATAACCTTAAAAACCAATTTTTCGGCAGAGGTTGATCAAGAATGTCGCTGCGATATAACCACGAAGTTCACGAATTTCTTACCGTACGTGACGACGATAACTGTTCCAGCTTTTTGATTTCCGCAAATATTAACTCTCTGACGATCGCCTTCGAAAACGTTTCTTTCGACCTCGTGTATTGCGAGCCATTATTTAGCTTATATTTCACTCTCGTGATGTCAACAGAGGGCATTAGAGCATTTACCAAAATTTTACAAGTGGGTCAAGCCAAATTGGAACTCCCTTCAAAGCAATGGCCAAAAATAAGCTAGTATCAAATTTTGTCATGTATTAGCCGATAAGTGTTCCTGTTAGAATGTATTGGAGTCACAGAAATGTACAACATTTCACTGTGGAATCAATAAGAGTGTGGGAGAATGACTGGAAACTCTTTCACATTGTATGTTACCGAAAGTGTTAATTAAATAAATTTTAAAAAAATGGTGTCAGAATTCTGCGTTCTCCTTAGTCCTCACCTTCCGTCTTCTTTCCATATCTATTTTTTTGTGAGGTATGATCTTTCAATTCCTATTTAGTAGTAATGTTTCAAGCAAAATCATGTGA